AAGTTAATTCTTAATTTTATTCTATGTGCACAGCTTTTTTTGATCAGAACTTATTGGTATTATTATATACCTTTATAAGAATATGCTCTATCTGTTTGTTATCACATCTATCTAGATTGTATTTTAATTATTTAACGTTGGCAATAAATTAATAATAAATTATCGATAAATACCATATATGAAACTGGTGAAACTACAACAGATATTCAAACACAGCAAAGAAGAGAAAAACTTAAAAACGTTAGGGCGTGGTGAGACCGTTTGAAAGGACTGATTAAAGTGCATACTCAATTATTTCCACGGAAATATGAACTAAGGAAGAAATGTGAAATTAAGCGCTTATAAATATAATTATCTAAGCTATTTCTGACTGATGATACATATCGCATCTATGAGGAAGCTTTGAAAGAACTTCACACAAATAGAGCTAAATAAATACAGTAAAGTTGAGAATGAATCTAAAGAGCTAGAACATTTACATCCCTATACTATTTTTTTGTAGAATAGGACAAACAGTTAATACAGAAAAGGCTATATTAATAGCTTTGAAGAATAAAAATAGCAGAGTAACTCAAAATTCAAATGACATAATTTTTTACTTTTAGATATGTATAAGAGATTATACTCAGAAGGAAAGATAAATCGAACTAACGACTCTTTCTTTGGAAGCTTAACGATTGTACCAAAATGTCTGATGCTTCGTTAACGTTTACAGAAACAACCGGTGCTTGTGAATCATTACGAAAAAAATATAAATTCCCAACTGGAACTGATGGCCTAAAGTTTGAGTGGTTAGTTAAATTTTGGTCTAAGCTTGGCAATTTCCTGATCGAGATTTTTAATGAATCTCTAGAGAATGCAGATGTTGTAAAAGTATGAAAAAGCAGTAATAAAGTTAATATCTAAAAAGGGAGATCTGATGGAAATACACAAATGGGCAACCATTATCACTTGTAGGTACTGACTATCCATTGTTTTCTAAAGCCATAACAAACAGAATGTTGTGAATCATTTGGTTTATGATAGCCAGACTTACCATGTCAATGATCAACGTATTTATTTTAGTATACGTTATGCGTTATATAATAAATTTCACAAACCAAAATAACAAATGTTAAACTATTATTAATTTCGAACAAAATTCGAGGAAAATTATGAGTGGTTGACTCAATGTATAAAAATATAATGTTTTATGTATAGTTCATTTTAAACTTCAGCTGCTCCTTTCAAGAGGGGTTTGCAACAAGGATATCCAATAATGTTTTTTTTTACTTACATTATCTAAATAACCTTTTATTAATAATTTAAAAAAGAAATTAGTTCTTTAAGACTAATATCAATTTTCAGTGATCATCAACGATTATTTGATCTTCTCACGCTGACGATATAAATATTTACATTTGACAGGTGACGGAATTTAATATTATTGAAAACATAATGAAGAAACTTGAACTAATTCCTGGATCCAAGTTCAATAAAGAAAATTATCTTGATTTATGGTTTGGTACGTGGAATACTCGCATAGAAAATAAATTAGGCTGTGCTTGGACAAATCTTGGAATAAATGTATTTGGAGTTGATTTAGGAAATTTTCTAATATGGAATCAAAGAAACTGGGATGAGCTGAAAGATAAATTTTGTAAGCTTATTAGAGTTTGGAAACATTTTCAAATTTTCTTAAGATTAAAAGGAAAAAGTAATTATTAATCACATTACCAGTAGTAGTATGTGGTATAGGTTTCAGAACCCCCTGAAACTTTAATATATAATTTCCAAAATGATGTTGCACCATTTTTTTGGAGAAAAGCTTATTAGGTAATCAGAAACACTTTATATTTACTTTTCGAAGAAGGTGGATTGAATCTTTTATCTCTAAATGATAAATTAACCATTTTTAGGATTATATATTTAGAATGTGTATTGTATAAAGCAACTTCTCGAATTACAATTGAAGTTATTTTTAAACCAGCATATCGGCATTTATATTTCCTTATAGTTTTTTTTAATGAATCACATGAAACCATGAAAAAAGTTAGGAATGTTTTAATTTTTAAGCTGTGTTTTAGAAATATTCAAATCATTTCTTAATGAACCTCTTTTATGAATTATTATTCAATAAATAATACAGAAAATCCGTTTTGTTATTCTTTATGACTGAAAAAAAACAATGTATTTCATATATATGTGTTAACCCTGATGAAGACGCATAGGCAAAAGTTGATTTTAATAAAAAGTTCTATTATAATTACCTGTATTATAAAGGTTATTTTTTCTAGCCTTTTAAATCAAAATGTGAAAAAAAAACAATGTCATAGTGTTAGAAATTGTAGACAAGCAAAGAAATAAATGGAAAATAGTAGATTGATCTTACCGTCACATTTGCAGAATGATGAAAATGAACAACGTATGAACTAATTAGTGACTGTGATTACAACATGATTTAAATATATTATTGATTCTATTGAATTACCAGTAGCAGTGAAAATGCAACTAACAATGAATGTGGCAATACATCTATTACAGGATTACCAGTAACAAAAACAGAACACTAATCAGTCTGATAACAAGAACAGTAAACGGCGTTTTCAATGGTTACTTTCCTAAATTACTAAAACGTGTGCCTTCAGTGGCTTAGCAATAAGTCTACAGGCTTACAGAGTTAAAAATCTGGTTTTGATACCCGTAGTGAGTAGAACACACATTGTGCACCTTTGCATTTAATAACAACCAAGCCAAACTGAAAAGTGTATAGAGTGTAAAGTGTAAAGAGAAGTATTGCCGAAAACGTGACTCGGATATTTAGTGGAAACATATGCATAATGCACTCACTACTTTCTCCAGTGTGGTAAAAGTGAATGAATTGTGTCAATGATGCTATAAAACGATTTGAGGAAAACTGGTATATATATCATAGTTGTGTTGTAAAATATATTTTATAAAGGATGGTTTTTAAATCATATTAAACTATTTCAGGGAGAAAATGTGAATCGATTGTTACTCGTATAAAAAATATAACAGTTCCAAATGAATTGAGTTATCCAATTTTATTAATATCTTTGACAAACGTATCGTAGACATGTATTGGCGTGAGATACATGAAAAAAACAACAATATATTCCGCAGCTTAAAATAGTCAAAGAGATAATAGTACGTAGTTTCATTAACAGTCTGAAATCACAGATTATATCGGGATATATGTGAGCTAAACAAAATGGTGAATCAGATCCCTTTAAAACACTCTGAAGAACGTCGATGGTTTATTATATATCAAATTATTGTCAACTTTCCGCCCTTAGAATAGTTTTATGTGTGATATGCATATTACGAGTTTTTTAAATTATTTGTCTATTTGATTTTGTAAAGTATTGTAATGTAATATATTGTATATGTGAGTGATCAAATTGATGACCTGAAAGAAACTTATAAATTAACAGCTTGATTCTATTTAAAACTATCCATCTAACATTTTGCAATTATCGGTTTGAGGTTGCTGTTAACGGACAAAATAAATCATGATTTTATTTCATAAGTAAAATATATATATATATATCAGGCGTCCAATGTAAATATGTATAAGCATGCAATGTTTGCTTATAGATATTACGTAATGTGGGTGTAATAATAATCTACAACAGTGTATTGAAGAATATGTTTTCTCTTGGTGTAATAACTGTTGTTTTTGTGTGTGAAACTTTTAAACACGATTTATTTTAATATAAAGTATAAAAAAGAGTATGTCTATCTACATATAGAGTTCCATGTCTTCGTGCAAACTTCTGAAACAATTAATGTAAATAAAGTGGGCAAATGTAAACTTTAAAATATTTTTACCGATTTGGTAGATGTCCTTGCCGCTGTCTGAAATACAAATAGCAAACTTTAAATGATTTTTTATACTTTCTATAAAGCAGTTACAAAGTCATGAGTCCGATTGATATTTTTATTTTCAGTTCACGTAAAACAGCAATTTAAAGATCATTACAGCCAACAGAAAAACGCTTTTAGAAAAAACAACACAAGTGCATAACACAAATATGAACACTTCTAGAAAAACAAAACTCAACTGTATAACGCAAATATAAATACTTCTAGAAAACTGGTAGAACTGTATAACACAAATATAAACACTTCTAAAAAAAGCATTAGTATTATATAACACTAATATAAATGCTTTTCAACACGACGTGATTTTTGGTTGAAAATAAGAATTTTAGAAAGGGCTGAAAAACTGTATTTGATTCTTCTGTAAGTTCGTAGTTTTCCAGTCAATGTGGCCACAAGAGAACTATAATTACTCCATGTAAAATACTATAGAATTACGTCCTTTATTGACCATCCGTAACTAACACAAACTTACTGTTAAACCTTAATTCATAAGAGAAGAAACTGTGCTTTTACTTATGGTTGACTTCAGACAGAGCTAAGGTTGTTATTAAGTAATTTATTGGCATCTACTTTGTGTAATCTACTTCTCCAATATTGTTTTTATACTGTGTTTTTTGTGTGGATAGTTTAACTACATGAAACAAAACCTATCCTTTTATGCTTATTGTGACCTTAAATTGAATAAGACTTCATTTATTGAGCTCTGTTGGCAACAATATATAACAAAACACTAAAATAATATTTTCCTTCTTTGAAGAGAATGAAAACTAAACAACGCATTTCGCAATTATATATTTCTTTGGAATAAGCGATGGTTTTTGTAGTAATATTATAAACGGAAATATATTCAGCTGATAAATAAAACAATAGACATAGTTCCCAACTATTGTGTAGTTGAAAACTCCTATTATTTTAAGATGTACCTAAACGCCAAAATGAAACTTTGATGAACCTGTTTGGTGTGTAGCCTTGCTCTATAGAACAGACTCACCTATCAGACGATCATGGCTAATAGCATTTCAGGTTTCTATGTGGAAACTGTTTCATCTCCGTGGCTGCCACAACAAATATCAGTAGATAAAAGTCTAATGTTTCAATCACTTCTTTCTTACTAGGTATTCCTGAGGTTCTAAGGATTCTTGGTGGTACCACGACAGCGGCCAGTGGTCAGGCGGGCTGATCACTTGGAAGAGCTTTTCTCTACTGCATACCTTCGAACTTGCACGGCGTGGCATTTCCAAATGACATGTTTTAAATCGCTGAAGACGTTCCAACATCGAACCGAGGCCCCAGGTCCCGGCTTTCAGCTTTTGCCACAAACGTAATAATTATGGGCCATTTCGCTAGAGCGATTAGCTGCAGTGCCGGCAGCACAAAGCAAGCCAAGTTGGGACGAAATTACTAGTCTCCAGCCGCCGATACGGCTTTCCTTCATGTAGCCTATTTTGTGAGAATCTGCTATTGTTTTAAGCAGTTTCCGCCTTAGAAGAACATTAGCGCCGTCAACAGGAAGTGGTCTGGAGGAGCCCGATAACCTTATCTACTGAGGTTAGAGGTATAAACTTAAACTTACAGTAGGTTTTATTTCAGTGTAACAGAGAAAACATCACGCTTTAATCCGCTTTTGTTGAGGACCGATCTTCCGGATATCACTCTGTTATTATTCATCATCTTGTTTTGAGTATGAAAGTATTCAGTATACGACCAAAAGAATTTAAAGTTTTTCATTATATATTTTGTTAATATTATATTTAACCTTTAGATGTTATGGATAGTTATTATACAAATCATTATTGTGTATAAAGTTTCTCATTTTTATTTTAAAAATCGCTCATTATATGTGAACAACAACTGGAAACTATACTGTTGATGCTTTTGGCTTCTAACTTTGACAATAACGTGTTGTAATTTTCTAATTTGTGAACCTTTTAAATCTGTTATAAATATAAATACGACATGCTGCTGAATCAGCCATAAGCTTTAGTGATTATAACACTAAAATTTGGGGTTTGATCCATGTGTTGGGCATGGTACTATTGTCAAACCTTATCTACGTTTCAAAACAAAATGATAATAATAACATAATAAAGATATTTTGACATTTGAGACTATCTGTAATGAAAATAGAACAAAATACTTAGTGTGTTTTTGGCAGGTTGTATTTTCAAGTAAATATGGTAGAGTTGGAATAAATAAATAATTATAATTAAATGGTTTTACATACATCTGATACAAACGTCAGTTTCAAAACAAACACGATAATTAATCGTCAATGTTAGCTTCATATAGAACAAGGAATATCCAAGCGTATTTTAAAATCAAGATGTCATATTTTATATAAGCAGATATCTTGTTTGTTTGAATTTATGCACAAAACTACACAATGGGCTATCTGTGCTCTGCCCACCACGGGTATCGAAACCCGGTTTCTAGCGTTGTAAGTCCGCAGACATACAAAAACAGATATCTTGGACACTTAAACTCTTCACATAGCCATGACTTCCTTATACTAATTTCTATCTTAAATATATTTTAATATTTTTTAACGTTAAATCTTTTAAAATTAAAGAAAATTATTCAAGGCTAGTTTGTTTCTTATTTTTAGTTATTTTGTGGACGCTCAACCGTTGATAGTGAGAAACTGTAAACGCATCCTTTTCTAAGTAATATTACTTGTTACTATATATATTATAAAAATCATTTTTACTTACACTTTCCTTTTTCAAATGTCTTTAAAAGACGAGAAATATCATTTTTCTCTATAAAGATTATTCCTATTCATAGTAGTTGTGAGTTTTCCAAGCGCTCGATTAAGAGATACTTGTCTACTGATAAGCTAGAACACTATTGTATTTGAGCATGTGCATATGAGCGGCTATTAAAATGATGAACTACTTTTTAAATATATTTCATTACTTGTACTTTGAATTGTAATATTAATATAATATTGTTTCTTTTATGTTCCAAATGACAATACAGTGACACTGGCGTGTGGAAAACTATCTTTGAGATGATGTCATATTGTGATTTTAAACATTGACTTCTTACATATGTTTAACTGCTTTCCGCATCAAGTATGGCAATAAGGCAGCTTTAAGACATTACTAGATTATTGTCACTGTGTCATCATTTTAAAGCAAAAGAAGCAGATACTCTGAGACTGCAACATGATTTGCAATTTTTGATGCATTTTAATACCCTTTTTAGTTCAATATTTAGTATCCTGTTTCTTATTTTGCTCGAAGCGTTCACTGTTTAGTGAATTAAAGTTGAGGGCCATATGAAAAAACGGTCACTTCCAATAAAGAAGCCATTCTTTAAAACACATATTTTGATGAATGTGACAAGATACTCATTGACAAGTTTACCGAGAAGCCGCTGGGTTAAACTGATGCAGCACCACATGGGTCTCAGAGTTATCTCAACTTCTGTACCAAAATAGTTTAAAGTGATCAGCTTGAACCGTACGCTAGAGCAGAAGAAAAATAAACCAGCAGAAATAACAAAACAGCTGCACACTCTGCTCCGAAACAACCTCCAAGTTCTATAATGGCACCAAAAACTCAACTGAAGCATCAGTTGTCAGCTCCACGTGTTCCACATCATAAGGTTTTTATGGTGCAGCCACCATGATTACAGATGAAACTACAGGGATTTTTAGCTCTAGATGTAATGGTTTCATTGCCTATGCAGCATAAGGCGGTTCCAAAAGATGTCAGGAACGCGAGGTAATAGGTCTCTGCTTCTACTGTGGCTTACCTGTTCATTGGATGCAGTGATGCCAGTATCCTATTATAAAAAGCAAGAACCATTATTATCAATGCTAAACTGATGCTAAACAATGCTCAAGTGTTATGTCTGCTGTTGCTGTGGCTAGTTTAAACTAAAGGAGTCTGAGTTAAATCTAACCGCCAGCTTGGGCAGACGTATCAGCCGGCTTGCAATCACTTACTATGTTGACTCTTCAGATAATTATGCACTTAGCACCATGTAGTATGTGCCCATGAAAATACAGGATTGATATTTAAGCTAGTAATCATTTACAACTTTTCACAGTTTATAGAGTCCATCTTGGGGCACAACTGTCACTTATCAGTATTCGGTATGCTCTCCATATACATGATAGGCAGCTCATACACGACGCGACATGCTCTCCACAAAGGATACCAAAGTTTGGGCTTGAATATTTCGCCATGCTGCGAGGACAGCCTAGTGAAGGTCATGCACACTATTAGACTGATGAAGCATCTTGTTGATGAAACTAGTTACTTATGCTCAGAGGTTCTCTATTGGGTTCAAATTTGATGATAGTGCTGGCCACTCTCTGTGTTCCACCTCCTGCTCTTGGAGGAACTTCTAAATCATTCGGGACCTGCATGACCTGGCACTGTCATCTTGGAAAATAAAATTAGTTTTATACTAATATGTGCCTATACTAGCGTCGATACAGGTTTCTATCAATGATGCAAAGGTCACTTTTACTTCCAGAGTGTAATGCGCCTAGACTGTTATTACACCACCATTGTTGTAGGTCTCATGAACTTGCTATTACACTCTGCTAGGCTTTTGGGGCGAAATATTTCGCATCTGGCTTCATCATTCAACACCATACACTGTATATCGCCAGTACGGGGTCTGCCATTTTAGGTGTTTCCTTTCTCACTGACGACGAAGCTGGCGATGACCTTGGGTCAGTATAGGTTTGTAAGGGGTGTCTTGCGCGATAATTAGCCTTTAATAATCGGTCATTAACATTATCCAGATGTATTAATTTAATACAGGCTTATTTGTGAGTTATTACCATTCAGCTCGTAGGGTAGACCTTGTGAAGCAGCCATTTCTGCATAACTGGAACATCTGGTGATCATCTATAACTGGAGTCTTTTGTAGACTATCTTTTTGGATAGGTCTTCCAATTATGTTGTCTCTTTTCATAATCTTAGAGACAGACAGTGCCTTGGTTTATACATAACTGTCCATCAATTTGACTTTCTTTGATGCCATTTACACGTACTACAATAACTCCGTAGTAAACTCCAGTATCCAGCTATCGAACCATGGTTTGCAGAACTTGTTATAACATTCTGAAGTCGCTGGAAAGATATAGTGAAACCAAAAAGTTGTCACCATTATATAGCGTGAGCAGAAGCATCACTTCACAACAGATTATTGCATATTTGCTCACACCACACGCAATCGTACATACCTATTGACTCGAATTTGCGTCACATGATTGTTCACATACACATGCATGAACTGAAACTCTTCAGTGGACTGTAACGAACGTAGTAGCTAAGAAATTTATCTTTATAAAAATATTGTGTTGTACCACTACCTGTGACCTCTAAGGCAGGAATGCAAATATGCATCCTGGTACTTAAAGCATGTTTTGATTAGAGCACTGGAGCTGGTTAATTCTTATTGGCATTGTCTATTCATCTTAAATACTGATGCCAGTGATAGTGGCTTTGGAGCAGTTTTGTCATAGGTAAAGGACAGTATGGAACGTGTAAACTCATATGTGAGCAATGCAATAACTGCTCCTGGATATCAACACTGTACGATAAAGAAGGAACTGCTGGCAGCTTTATTATTTGCCAAACGTTACCACAACTACTTGTATAGTGTGGAGTTAGTTATTTGATAGACCACGCATCATTGAAATGTTTGATGAAATGTTTGCAGGGTGTGAATGTGCATTGAATAATGATGTTGCTAGAGTACAGCTTCATTGTACAACACTGCACACTCAAGTAGCATAAAAACTCCAATGGATTTTCTTGTCAGACAATGAGATCATCTCCTCTTTATTGAATGTTCAAAACCTAGTCAGTATGCACTGTTTAAGCCATCCACACAGTTGTGACAATGAACTATAGAAGCAATGACAAGTTTGCTTTTGGATGAACATTATACATTACCATTCATAAACTTTGGGAAGAGCACAAAAGGAGTTAGAAATATGTTGGACACTACTTTCTATTTAACAATAAGAAGCATGACCATTCAATCACAATTTAAACAACCTGTGTGTAGGTAGTGGATCACATGGCTTTAAGGCAGGAGGAACTAAAGACTTTTCACAATTCAAAAATTGGAGGCCACAATTGATGTTATTTTTTTGTACCATAGGAGGAAATCTAGTCACATAATGGAAAAATATGGCATATCGTTCTAGGTTCTGCCCTTCAGAGAATCATATTAGATGTAGATGGTCTTCTGATCAAATTTGAGAGAAGTGATCAATAGCCAAAGAACTGGTTGTGAGTGGTGCTGATTAACTGTCTTCTCCCTAGTCTATAAATTTAAAATTAAGGAATGGTTAGCACAGATAATCCTCATGTATCTTTCAACAAAACAAACGAACAAACTAAGTGAATAGTAGAGTTGAACCTCAGTCTTATAACTAACCAACGACTCAAGAATGCGAGGCGAGATTTTTTGGCAACCGTACTTGAGCCAGGGTCTCTAGGATACACAGTGCCCACTATCCCACACGATTCCCATGGATTAATGGAAAACCAAAACACTGACAAAACTGAATCACTCCCTTATTATTAGTATATACATAATATATCTATTTAAATATTTATTTGTAAGCTAACTTTACTTTATCTTCACTCAAAAAAGATTACAAACGTGCAGAAAAAATACAATTATTCCATTTCTAAGCTGTCAATAAAACAATTTATAATTATAGTAGAAGAACACATTAAACAACTAAGCCTAATAATCATGGGATTAAAATACATCAAGCTACTACGTTTAATAACAGCAGTAAAATATTTTAATCCATTACGCCTAATCATAGTAGTAAAATACATTAAGCTACTACACTTCATAATCCAATTTGTAGAATGCATTAAATTACTGTGTCTAATCAAAGTAGTAAAATGCATTAAAATACACTACGCCTAATCATACTAGAAAAATAATATAAGCTACTACGCCTAGTGGCTGATCATGTTTCATATGTTAACATGGTATAAGGGAGACCATCACATTCCAGTATTCAGCCAGGGAAGAGTAGCCCAAGAGTTGGCTGTTGACTAGCTGCTTTCCTTCTTGCCTATCAGTTCAAAATTAAGGACAAATAATTTAAGTAACGTTTGAGTAGCTTTTCGAGAATATACGAAAACAAACTTATTTCCAAGTGGCGTTGTAGAAAGCCAAGCAAGATGAAGATTAGTGTGTTTATAAAAATATCCCTT